CACTGAGAGAATGCCCTACGTACAGCTCTTTGAAAGCTCAAATGAAAAATTGGTTACAGTCAAACCAAACATGTACTCATATGTAGTTACAGTGTGATTTTAATTGATCTTTTTTGGACACATAATTGCATGTATTGAATGTGTGGTCAGATTGACTGCAAGATAAAGGGAATTGTGCAATGAGTGAACTGTGAAATATTTTGGACTGTGCAATAATGGGAGCTGTGCAATTAGTGGAACTGTGTAATGAGTGGAGTGTGCAATAATCGGAGCTGTGCAATGAATGGAGTGTGCAATATTTTATTTTTTGCCCCCCTGTGACCCCAGCCCTTTGGAAAACAGATGGAAATTTTCCTTAAGCTACAATCTCGTGTGTTTACATTCATATTGTATCATGTTTGTTCATTAACATACTCTGTCCCAATCACATAAATAAATCTGAAAAAGTGTAGATGGATTCAAATTTGGCTATACCATTTTGACCATGAATACCAGGTGCTATAGGGGGCCAGCAGTGGCTCTAGTGAAAACTGTTGTTGTGTTCCTGGGCAAGACACTTCACTCACTCTGCCTATGTATGTAGTGTGTGAGATTGTTGGTCTTGCGTTCATCAGTTTACCCCAGGGCATGTGTGGCTACAATAATAGTTTAGCACCAGTGGGATTGATGAATACTGCACAAAATTGTAAGCGTATTGTTTTTGTTATTGTAAGTGTGTGTTATTTTATACTGGTTTTGATATGGGAGGATGGAGGTCAGCTAACTACAGGACACACACTGACTTTCATTGCATTTGAAGAAATAAGGGTACACAAACTCAGAATTTAGCTTTACTTGAAACATTTAAAACGAATACAAATAACCCACTTATCTAGGGCCTCAAAAGAGCAAAGGCCAACATCACTCTTCTGTAATTGTCTGAGCCTTGTGTAATATTTTTCCAATCAACACCCCCACCTCCCCTCTTTTTGCATTGGGACAGTAACATGAGTGACTGACAAACAGGAGATGGGAGGAGGCAGAGGTCGCGCGGAGGTCACGCCGAGCTGTCGTACGCCCGGTGTGTAAGAGGCGAGGGAGAGATTAGCTATAAATTGGATCCGTCGATTTGAGGCCAGTTGTCTGTTCGTCACCTGTAAGACGCACTGCAGATCACACTGGAGGGGACAGGTGTTTGGGACCAGCAGGAAATGGATTCGACTATTGTGCTTTTCGGACTGGGACCTGGAATCATTTGGGTTCTATAGTGACTCAAAACATCAAGTGCTCTGAACTTTTTACATGCCAGCACAGAAAATGATTGTTGTATGTACATTTATTTGTCATTTTTATTAGTTTGAATTTTTTTCTATTCGTATTTTTATTTTTTTATTACTTTTTAATTGTATTTATTTGTTTATTTATTCATTTTTATTTTATGTATTTATGTATTTATGTATTAGTGTATTTATTTATTTATTTTATTTTGTCATTCTGAAGAGGAGTGCTTTTATTGGTTGCTAACAGAAATCAGGAAAAATAGACATTACATTTTCTCCTCATCAATCCTTTTTATTATAAAACTACAATAAAGTTGCACATTGATACAAGAATTATTGTTGCTCCATCTTCAAAAAAAAAAACAAAAAAAAAAAGTGTCATGAAATTCAATCAGTCAACCAAACTTTATTTCAGAAACCAGAGATTTCATTTAGAACATTTAAAAAACAGACAGACGCCAAATGCAACTATAATTATACACAATTCTTATTTACCATATTTTTGTTTAGTTTACAAAAGGTTCAGAAAATTAGAACATGCAGATTTAGGTCGTCATTAATGATACACAAAAATTAATTTGAATATCTGTGGGAATTTGATATTAGTTTTATCTTCTATGTCTATTCGTTTAGTATTCTCTCTTTATACCCCCCTCTGCCTCCCTCTCTCTTCTTCTTCTTTCTCTCCCTCCCTCTCTCTCTCCATCTCCGTCCCTCTCACTTCTTCCCCCTGCCTCCTTCCTTCCTCTCTCTCGCCGTCTCCCTCCCTCTCTCTGTCCCTTTCTCCCCCCTTCTCTTTCTGTTTCTCTCCCTCCCTCTCTCTCAGCCTCCCTCCCTCTCTCTGTCCCTTTCTCCCTCTCACTCCCTCTTTCTCCCTTCTTCTCTTTCTGTTTCCCTCCCTCTCTTTCTCTCCCTCTCTCCCCCTCTGATCACATCACATCATCTTTTACAGGAGCCTGAGTGCTCCTCTACATTACTCCTCTTCTGAATGCAGTCAATGCAGACTTCCTCTGAGCTGTTTCTCAGACCAGGATCGCATCTCCTGAATCTTGAGTCCAATGTTTCATGTGAACTCCTCTTCTGTTGCTTCTCACACCCACACAGATTTATTGTTTTCCTGCTAGAGTAAAAAAATAAAAAATATAGCAGCCTTTATGATTTTTCTTCTGTAATCTTGCTCTTTCTCTAATGTGTCTTTTATTGCAACACAGCAAAAAACCCCTACGGCAGTGTACTCAGGTTTTCCACTATCTCCCATACACTACAATAACACAATATAACCACATGCATACAGTTAAGAAGACCCCCAACGCCAGCAACTAAAAGGGATCATTTCTTGTCATTTGTCAGTTTGCAAACAAAACAATAAGTATACCAATTACATTTTTTTTAAAATCAGATTGAAACTGTATTTTTGCACTAGCCGATGGCAAAAGATTAACAATATATATATAAAAAAAGTAAAGGTTAGACATACAAACAAGAAAAAAGACATGGCTTGGAGACTTTGAGTGCGTACCCTGTTGCAAAGTCCCATTAAAGTTGTATAGAGCGAGGCTTTTAGGATGGCGACCAACATACGCAGAGCAACTTTAGCTAATATTTTTTTCAGAAGCTCAGGGCTTTGTGCATGTCAGACCAACGTCCCTAATGTGTGTTTGAGGTAGAGAGGGAGTTTGTGGGAGGTCCTTACTGCTTTCTCAGGACTCAAGAAAGCACATTTAAGTTACAGAGTATCAGTCAATTATCAATCAATGTGTATTTGCTGTTCATACATCTCAAAGTTCAGTATCAGAGACAAGCAGGTTACAGCACTACTCTACACGTCAGATCTGTGGAGAGTTGCCTCTATTCACAGAAGGAGTTCATGTATTTTTGAGAAATAGAAACTCCTGTAATGAATACATGCTGGACGGATATGTTTAATGTTCCATGCTTTGTCATGGAACATTCCCAGCAAAGCAATGTGGAAGGGGCTTGTTTTCGCTGTACGCAGGAAGGAGCGAGAGCGTGAAAAGGCGGGGGGCGGCGTGCTGACGTGAGGCACATGGACAGGTAGGATGTTTAGGAAGTTTAACCTGCCCTGTGATGCACGCTGGTACACGATGGCACACGCTGTTGCAGACGAGCCATGCACAGGGAGCATGTGTATTTGTGATGTGCCGTAGAGTCTCCGCAGGCTGCACTGAGCGCACAGGCTGCACTGAGACGCCCCACACGCTCCTGCACCCCGCTGCAAGTTTATTGCCAACAGCAGCGGCCGTAATGAAATATGATCGCACTTGTTGAGTGTCAGACCTCAAGTGAGAGACAAGACCAAGACCAAACGCGAGTCTGAGACGAGACACGGCGATCTACCCACACGACCTTGGCGATCGACTGGTAGATCGCGATCGACGTATTGAGCACCCCTGGTCTAGTGTATTCTGATTCCTGACCTTCTCGCTGGAGAGTAATGAAACTGAGCGAAGGCACTAGGTAGCGGTCCCTCCACCTGAAAAGTTGCGCAGTGTGCCTTTAAATGAAAATAGACAAAACTTGCAGATGGTATTAATACCCCAATAAGAGGATCAATTAGAAATTCAGGTTCATTGATTGAACGTTATAGCTATCAGCTGTTCTTCCTGGAGACCTGTGTAGCATGTTTTGGGTTGATGGGGGAAACCGGAGCACCCGGAGAAAAGCCATCCAGACACGGAGAGAAACATGCAAACTCCACACAGAAAGACCTGGGCGACCCAGGGATCGAGCCTTGAACTTGCTGTGATAGATAGATATGTTAACTGGCATCCTAATTATTCAGTCAGAATCGCTGAAAAAATAAAAGCTCTACTTTCTAAGAAAAGAACTCACCCAGTAGTACAGAAAGTACACTGCGTACTGTGTACTGTGCACAGAGCAACAATACTTATTCAAATATCTTTTTGACAGTAAACTTGTCTGCACATTAATAATCTAAAACAAGCAATGTTCAACAAAAATAGTGCATATATTTAAATCAATGAACATGACATATTAATTTAAAAATCTATTTAAAATACTATTGAAGGTGACTTTGTCCAAAATCCTTGTCAGAGAGATAGAGTGAAAGACAAAACAGAGGATAGAGAGGAGAGAGAGATTAGGAGAGCAGCCGACAGAGGACAGACTGAAGTCATTCAAGCTTTTCTTCTCTGCAATAATCCGCGTTTGTCCAAATGCAGCTGAAGGAGAGAGACCATCGTCCAGTCCTACACGTGCACAAAGTCATGAAGCAGCAGAGAACTCAAACTAACGTCTTAATAATAATAAATCATGTTTTTCTACTGAGGAATTATGAAATGCTAAGAAGTCATAATTATCATTTCCTTATTAAATCCATATTTTGCAGGTAAGAAAGTGTGCAGGATTTTTCTAAAGGAGCTTTGATGAAAAGTGATTCATTTCCCTCCCACAGCCACATGCAACCTGACCACAATTGAAGAAGCTGCTTGGGTGAGTAACGAAACATCTTCACTCTGATATTTTTGTCTAGTTGACAGAATAAAATTTTTGGTTTGCTACTTTTTCCTGTAGCTTACAGTTAAAAACACCTTCATACCCTCTTGAATTTCTGTACTATACACAGTTTCAGGGATTCAGGTGTTCACCCCTGGTTTATAAAACATTGGTATATCTATTACTTATTTACTAATAACTTAAAACATGGATGCTTGTATCATTTATTAGAGATTTATCCCAAGACTGGTTTAGCATGGCAGTTTACATGGCCTCTTCGTCTGACTCAGTGTCGAGCAGTGGTAGATCGTCCTGGGACAGCCATGTGCGGCAGACGGTGTAGTCGGCCATGTTGGGGAGACCAGAGATGACGCAGCAGCTCAGAGCGCTCCTGCGGGTTTTCACATCACAGGCCTCGCTCCAGGTGTCCGCCAGGTGATCATAGGACTCCACGCTGTAGCTGGTAGTGGTTCCGTTATATCCCCCCACAATGAAGATCCGATCATTCAGCACCGCAATACCAAAGTTCCTGCGAGCGAGTGCAATGGAGGCCACCTGCTGCCAGGAGTCTGTGCTGGGGTTGTAGGCCTCAACACTACTGAGGCACATATTTCCATCATAGCCGCCAACCTACAGGAGTGAGGGGAGACTATAGTGAAGTGGTTCTCAAGTTATCTGTATTGTAATGAAAAATGTTTCTAATTCATAGGTAAATGCTAGAGTAAAAGGTGGGACCAAGTCATTGTTTTACAAGTTTCAAGTAAGTCTCAAGTCTTTGACCTCAAGTCAAAGTCAAGGCAAGTCCAAGGCGAATCTCAAGTCAATGGCCTATAAGTCCGAGTCAAGTCCAAGTCATCTGCTTGAATCATTTAGTCTTTAAGTCAAAGTACCAAATATAGGTTGGATTTTTGCAATGTATATGAATTTTAAGATAAATTGTACTTAAATGTCTTGACAAGATCTTAGTGTGAATCTTTGCAGTCAGAATAGAAAGAATTCAGATTTAAAAGTGCTTCTCAAGTTTTCTCAAGTCACAGGCCTCAAGTCTGACTCAAGTCCCAAGTCGAGTCCCAAGTCTTACTCCATTTTGTCAAGTCAAGTCCTAAAAATAGTGACTCAAGTCTGACTCGAGTCCAAGTCACAACTTGCAGGTCCCCACCTCTGGCTAGAGTGCTCCTTGCCCATAATGCAAATATACTGTATGAAATAGTGAACCTACTAGAATGTGTAATCTGTCATTGGTCCTTTAGTGATCCAGCGCACAGGAAGAAGCCATCTTGATATTGTTTTGGAAATTGATATGTTCTGACTTTTGACTCAAATGTGAATCATGTATTTAAGAGTGTAAACAACAGGCAGCACGTTCACAATAAGAGAATAACCATAAAGAGGCATGTTTGTAAACAAAGGCAGAGCAGTCTCACTTTAAAACTCCTCCATTTAGGGCATAACTTATTTCACTCAGTGGAATAAATACCCCAGTGTCTTATACCAGTACCATCAAATTGAAAATGACTTCTGGATGGAATTGGGCTTTGGTTTAAAAGACTCTGTTTTGTGTGTACCCAGTGAACCTACTATATACAGAAAATATAGGTCTGCATTGAATCCAGTTGGACAGTACGTACTGCGTAGATGAGGTTAGCGTGGGCAATGACACCGACACCAGTACGGCGGGTGGTCATGGGAGCAATAAGTGACCACTGGTTGGTTTCTGCACAGTAGCATTCAACTGTCTGTAGGACAGCAGTGCCATTGAAGCCACCACAAATATAGATCTGCACAATACAAAGATCTGATGAATGAACAACTTCCTACTATGTATAGAACTTATATGAAATGCATTTTTGTTACATTTTCTCTTCACCTACTTTGCCGTTGAATGTGGTACATTTGGCGTCGCTCCTCTGCTCGATCATAGGTGCGATCAGAGACCACTGCCTGCTCTTGGGGTCATAGACTTCAGCAGTGTTGAGTCGTGTTTTCCCATTGTATCCACCCATAGCATAGATACAGTCATTCAACACAGTCACACTCACGTAGCAGCGCTTGTAGTACATGCAGGGCATTTCGTGCCAAGTGCGTGTGCCCAGGTCCAAGCGTCGCACAGAGTTGAAATGTTCCCTTTTGTCAAACCCTCCCACGCAATATACCGACCCTTTGAAGAACACAGAGCCATGGTAAGCCCTGGGCCTCTCCTCGTGGTTTGTGACCTCAAACCAGCGATCGGCCTTATAGTCATATGCCTCAATTTGATTGATTGGATCACCACAGCTCCAGCCTCCAATAGCCAATAGGATCTCACCAGGAATTCGAGGACGGACTAGATGGTGTCGGGAACCCCTATAAACAGAGACTTCATAGGCAGCTACCATTGATTTGGATATTGCAGAAATGCATTCGATGTCATCCGTCACCAGAGCATTGTTGAGAACATTATGCTCCACAAAGTGAGGTGAGAGCTCAGGCAATCGAACCTGAAAGATGTTAAAGAACATAATGTAGGTCACTGTACAGTTACATACCCAACATCAGTCAAATGTTTTATGTGAACTGGCCTCAGAAAGAGAACTGATAAACCCACTATGCAGATATGAAACATATTTCAGATTCTTAAGTGTACATTGGTAACACACCTTTGTCAAGAGACGCGAAAACTCTGCTCTGCGTTGCTGGAGGTCGTGGTTGGTCCAGTGCAAAATGGCTTGGTACACAGCTGTCTCATTTTTCACAATGAGTTCATCTTCCTCAATGAGACTGATCAGTTCCTGCGCTGTCAGCTGCTGGAACTCATCACAGTGCACCACCTCCTCGAAGTGACTCAGGATGAACCGCCGAGCCAAGTCCCTTATTTTGGTCAATGCAACATTAGAGATCTTCCAGAGGCCAATGCAGTTTTCAGGGCACAAGTTGTTCTCCAGGAATTGGAAGCCGATTTCAATCAGTTCTTCCAACTGCAGCATGTGGGCAGCCAGCAGTAGATCCAGGATGGTCTCTCTGCTCAAGGTGATGGATTCAGTGTAAATCCATTCAAGCACCAGGGACATGATTTTAGGAGAGATTTCAGCAACTGGGAAGTCTCTGTCATCAGGAGCACTCTGGATTTCAAACATGTCTCTAAAAACAAACAAAAACTTGTGTTTAAAAACATGTTGTCATTGTATTCAGAGCTCTTCTTTCTACCCAAAGCTGCCTTCTGTGCTTCACTGTATTGGGAGTGCATCGACCATGGTCAAATAACAGCTTCTCAGTGACTGCAGCCCTTAGTGGAGTCAAAACTGTGAACCACCAGGTCACAATGTTATGTCTGATTGGTGTATGTAATGTATGTGAAGTTACCTTCTCCTGAATTGACCAAATATACTATTCGATTTCACAACAATGATGCTGCTACATTGTCTTGAACATTTATGGAGTAATGGTAAATCAATGTAACTTTCAGTCTGTAAAGCTTGTCTAAAATAACCATTAATCCTTGTGAATCCTGAATGTGGAAAGTTGGTTTACTGTAACTTACCTGAAGTACCTGCTGGAGCTGCAGAGGAGGATTTTGTGAACTGGAAACTTTTCACTCCCAACGTAGAGTACAGCGTCACAAAAAACATTTAAGCGCCGTAGCTTGTCATATATGTGGTCACTCATCTTTAGGTCTGTGGGATTTCAATGTAAATGTAAGAGACTAAAATGTGAGTATGCCAAATCACATAACATATCATAACATCACCATAGCAACGAGTAAACAGAAACTAGTATCATTTAAAACAATGAAATAACTGATATTTTGATATTTTGGACATTTACAGACGGAGAATAGGGTTTTCACATTCACAAATGACACATTTCAGTTTGTAGTCAAGGTATAAGAACATTATACAAGGTGGAGCTGTGCTTTGTGCTGTTTTAACGTACTGCTTCTTGTTGTTTAATGCTTTTAGATATCACTGCCCTGCTGCCATCGCCATGACATCACCATAGCAACAGGTAAACACATCCTCAACTTCTCTGAGCAGCATGTAGGGACTAGCTTCATTTTAAAACACTGAAATAACTGATTTGAAACATTTACAGACAGTGGAAAGCATTAAATCAGTTACAATAACATCAATAATTACTGGCAGATCAGGACACTGACATCATCGACAACACACTGGAGGAAACCTTTGTTTTTGGTGCTAATGCTAATGTTAAATCTAATTTGTAGCCTAATAAATATTTTAATGGTGCAACAAACTGAAATAACACCTATAAATAATCGTGTAGTCTTTACTATAAATAAAATTTTGTTGTTATGTTAGACTTAACATTTTCAGTAAAAGGATTAAGAATGTTTGTGTGTCTAACAGACTTCACAATAATTGGACAAAATTGAATAATATGCAATTCTTAAGATTTTTTTTTTTTTTTTTTTTTTCATTTTTAGTTCCTCTGCATTTCAGTTCAGGGTTCAGATAACTGCAGAATGCTTCTGAAGAAAAAACTAATCAAAACAGTAAAATACATTTTTATGGACACAGTTAATTGTAATATATGTATTTGCAGTTTTTGTAGTTTTACAACTTAATTAAATTCATCCCTTTCATTGCTGATAATATTTTACATAATACCAAATGCTGTTCAAATCACAAATGATTCCTATTTTAGAAACCAATTGTAAAGTAATCAAAGCTTCTTTGAAATATTGTATTTTTATCTTCATCAAACTAAGAGGCAGATCTACATCTAAGCACTGCTCTTACTGATACAGATAGCATCCTTCCTTTGCTTGAGGCCGTTCACAGCAGGGAGCCCTAGATCTAATTAGCTTGTCGACTGAGTAAAAACCAAATCCAAAAATCTCACTCTACCACTTTGAGTGTGCTAAAGAGAGAAACCTGCAACTGTTGAGCCACTAAACGGCAGGAAAATACATTGTGTTGATGAATGAGCTAAATCCAGCTCCCTGTGATTAACTCAATGTGTTTGTTTCAAAAGACAACAGAGGAAAAGAATCAAAAGGATTTCAGAAAAGTATTCAAAAACTGTATTTATTATGTAAGGCAAACAGCAACCTGTTTTTTACTAAAGCATTTTTGTCATATATATTTATATTTGGACCATTCCTTGTCATCCTTAACCAATGCAGTAACTATTTATCCCCAAAGCTACACGAGTTAAGAACTATTGATTGAGGTCCTTTTCTATTGAGAACTATTTTCTCCTAGTATTTTATCACAGCAAACACAAATTCGCTACCACATAATTTTCACAAAAATAATCACTTTGTAGTTTTCATGTTCTGTCTAATAAAATACTAAGTGCTTCATAGTGCAAAGTGCAAACCTGTTGCACGGTTCACAACACGCTACAATAGACTCATTATTACAGCCCTTATTGTTACACAGTGAGCAAATTAAAAAGCCCATTTTGAATCATATTGGCCTTTTCGATTGCGCCAAGTGAAAATGATAATTACTTCAGCAGCAGGCAGAGGAGGAGGGACTGAAATGACTTTCCCAGAGTGACCTCAGTGGAGATTTGGTGCACCCACTCTTTCAGTTTGGGATTTGGTTTTCGGGGATTTGAGCTGAAGTTCATCTCTGCCACTAACGGGATATTCGGACAGATTATAGCGCTGGTATTTCACTTTAACACTTCCCAGCACACACAGATGAATGGGACATAATACTATTTATAGTATAGAGCATTTTTATTATGTTAAAGGTCCTACAGCATATTCCACAAACATGAGACGTTGTGAGATTTAAGTCTTGTTAGAATGATGTAACCTCCTCAAAAACATTACACAAAGGTCTGTTTTGTTTCATTCACACATGTTTCAGTAATCTTGCATTATTTGTTTGTCTACCTTTGCAAAGCTTAAACTGCCCTGTTCCACTTTGTGATGTCATGGAGTGATAGTTTTCAATTTAACAGCTCCTTTTTACCTTTAGTTCAGTAAAGATTGACAACTCCATGGCTGAAATTATCCAAATGATTCTAGTGAAGGTGTATGGAGTTTAAAAACACAATGGAGCACCTGTTTTACCACGACATCACAAGGTGGAAGTGAAAGGAGCGTTTTCTGTTAGAACTCAGCCTAAATATGCAGGATTTGTGTGTTAAACATGTGTGAATGAAACAAAACACAACAAAAACTTCAGGTATGATTGTGACGAGGAAATATTATAACATAGATCAGAAAATAGCGTAATACGGACCCTTTAAAGGAGACGTACACAAAAATAGACTTAGCTTTCACCTTCTCATTTGCATACTCAATGTTGTATTTAAACGATTCCTGTTTGAGTAATCTTTGTTCTCTGGCATTCAAGACACTCTGAAAATGTTAAGTTTCCCAGGAGTTGTACAGTACATTTTTAGAGCTAGCTGTTTTTGAAAACTCTGCAGCAATCAACCCCATACTGGATCTATCTAATGGCTTTACGTAGCTTTTTCCCTGATTTATAACAAGAAGAGACAGTTATTAAAGAGCTCATATTACGCTGTTTTCTGATCTGTGTTGTTTCCTCATCACAAACATACCTGGAGTTGTGTTTTGTTTCATTCACACATGTTTAACACACAAACTATAGCATAACAGAAAACACAGTGCTTCACTGTGTTTTTAAACTCCATACACCTTCACTAGAATCATTTGGAAGATTTCAGACCTGGAATTGCCAATCTTTACTAAACAAAAAGTAAAATGTAGCTGTTAACTTGAAAACTAAGGCGTCGTGACATTACAGAGCATTTTGAGCTTTGGAGATGTAGACAGATTAATAATACAGGATTATTCAAACGTGCGAAAGAAGAAAACACAACTCCAGGTATGTTTTTAAGGAGGTACCAACATTATAAGCTCACAAGTGTCAGTTTTGTGTAATATAGGACGTTAATCTAAGAAAGCTCAAATCCATAATAATGATTCGAGCAGTTAATTCTTTATTTCCTTTTTCCATTTACAGGGCAACTAGAATGAAAATATGGACAGGTCATGTGTTATTAGGGGAGAGAGGATGGCGAGAACATGGCAACACTAATCTAATTCCCTCCTGTTCATACTGCCATATTTATTTGTATATATTCACTACAATCTACACTGTAATATACTGTATTGCGACTATATTCTATATGCTGCTGTTACGGCCCCAGGATTTCAGTCCTGTGTTGTTCTGTGTGTTTTAATTGATTTTGCTGGCTGTTCTGATTCCTGCTGTGGGAGCCCTGGTCTGTGATTGGTGAATGGCACATCTACACCTGGCCAATCCTGCCTCACCTCCAGCCTCCTCCCTCTATTTATGGAGACTGCAACACCTGTTTGGGGCTGCTGGTCTTGGTTTCCAGTCATTTTGTGTTTGTGTGTGTCTCTCGTTTGTACTACTACGTATCTGATGTTGTTTGTTGTGTTTGCTCATGTAGTTTAGCTCTGTTTTGTGCCTTTTTTATTTTGTCACTCGATTCTGTTTGTGGGTTTATGTGGTTTTACTTTGAGGCACTTGTGTTTTAGTTTTGTTGTGTGTCCCTTAGTTTAGTCATTAATTTTTTCTTTTTTTTGTTTTGTTTTGTTTTTTGCACAGAACTCGTATGTTAATCCTGTTGTTTTGTTTCTTAGTTTAGATTATTTTCTGTATATATTTTAGTCTGTTTAGTTAATTTATCTTTTACATTCCTGTTAATTAAACATTATTTAATTTATTCCATTCTCCATCTTGGTTCTTTTGTTACTTCCCATGCCCCTGCACATTCTGTATATATATATCACACTTGCTGCTCCTTGCACTTCTGATTAGATGATAAACCACATTTTGTTACCTTGTATTTATACACGTGTAATGACAATAAGTTGAATCTAATCTAATTTAAAACACATAAACACATGAACTACCACGTCACCTGCTTGTTTCTATGGAAATGTCATTGCTTTGCCTGGAATGTTCCACAGTAAAACAGCTCTACCTTACATTTATTAAATTACAGGTGGTTTTATAGCTCAAAAATACCTAGAAAAACAGACATTCTGACTGTGAGCGGGGTTGCCTCTCCACAGATCTGACCTGTAATGTGGTCTGGTTTGTTCTCTGTGAGGTTTAATATCATACTGTGACACATTTCAGACAAAGCAATAACATCTTGCACCTGAAAAGTTACACAATGCACCTTTTAAGACAAAAAAACAAAACGCAGTAATAAGAAAGAATACACTGTACATTCACGTTGCTCATTTATTTATGCAGTCAATAGCCGAGGTTAGTGCACAGAGATTTAAACATTTGTGTGGCAATCTAACACTCAATAAAACCTACATATATATCGTTGATGTAGTGTAAGATTTGAATAACATTGTTTACTGGTGCCACTTTTCTCATAGTAGTAGAAACGCAGTCATGGCAATAAAGCTTAAATTGAGTCATCCATCTTTTGTCTCAGCCTCGTGGGACTGTGCGGGGTTAAAGCAAGCGTATCAGTGATTAACTAGAAATTTGACTAAACAACCTTCACTGTAGCGCTCAGTCATTTTGCCTAAATATGACAGATGATCGCCAATGCATTTCAACATTTGTGAGGGAGAAACAAAGAAACTGGCGGGCACAAAGCAGCGCTCAGCTATGGACACTAATGAAGATGTATGCTGCCAATACAAACTGTGGGCTTCTACTGTCTGGTGATAATATCTTTGACAATAGGCAT